GGCCCTTACATCCCAGCTTGTTAACCAGGGACTCGCAGGTGGTCCTAGACAGGAAGGCTCCTATGACGTTTATGTCGGTGACGTTGGGTAGCTCATTGCACTACCGGGAGAAGCGTCGAATATACCCACAAAGGGTTTCCCCAGACTTCTATCGATAGTTTTTGAGATCCCATGGGTTCCCAGGACGTACGTATATGCCCTGGAAGTTTTCGATGAAGGTCTCTTTCAGGTCCGCCTAACTTTGGATTCTGTTGGGCGAAAGGTGTTCCAACCACGTTCACACCGAATCGACCAGGAACAATGGAAGGTAGCGGATAATGAAATCATCATTATCTGCTCCACCGGCTTGGGAAACGAGTTGATAATCCTCGAACCACAGTCTAGGGTTCATTTCCTTAGAGTATTTTGGGATGTTGGTCGGCGGTCGGTACCATGGTGGAAAGATGGCGTTGAGGATGTGTCAGCCAAAGGTCTGAGGTCCCGGTAAGTCAGGGCTCGGGCTTCGGTCCTCGCCGCTGTCATAGCGTCCACCACGATAAGGGTGGTAGCCGTGGCTTGCTCCCTCCCTTGCATTGTCGTGGGCACGCCTACGGGCATCGAGAGCGTCGCGCGCGTCACGATTGTGGTCGAGACGCTCATGCGCTGGGACTACGGCACGTGGCTTGCCGCCTTGCTACACCTGGTGGACTGACACATCCATGTTGGGTCGTTCTGAGGGCGCGCGCTGGCTAGCGTCGAGCTCGTGTTGTCGGGACAGCGAGATCTCGTCCTGTTGCGCCACTGCACGCTCGAGTAGCGTGCGAATCTCACGATGGGCCCGACGATCCTTGGGCGTCGCGGGCCCTAGAAGCCCCCGGAGTAAGGCCACCGCAGTAGCGATGTTCTGGCTTGCCTGGGTGAAGTGTGGGAGGGCTTCATCGTCCTCAATGATCCTCCGGTTCACGTCACAGGCCACGGTGCGCGTACGCCCACCATATCCATGGCGTTCGATCTCCCGCTCGAGCTCCGCACGTTCTTGCTCGAGCTAGAGTCGTGCTTCCTCGAGCTCTTAGTGCCGGGCCTTTAGCTGCTCCACCCGTAGGTGGGGTGGGGCCCCTACATCCCCCTTGACCTCATCGTTGAGGTTGTTTGTTGGGGTAGCCTCTCCCTCATGGATGCTTTCAACATGTCCCTTGGGGGTACCTACCATGAAACATTCACGAGAGGGGTGATGGCTCCCCCTGCTGGAGTCAGAGCTGGAGGGCGACTCCGATTCTCCTACGAGGAGGTCGTGGAAAGATTCCACGACATATTCGGTCATCCCCATGAATTCGTCGTTCGTAGGGGACGGGGGAGTGCATTGCGCCACAAGGTGGCCAACGATCTCTGCGGCGTTGCGCAGATCGGATGGGAGCGCTGTCGGGGCGCTCCGGATGAGGTATTCCGAGGAGAGCGGATCTCTTCCGACAAGCTGCGTCATGACGTTGACGAACAAGAAGGTGAGGCGGCCCAGGTTCTCCCGGGATGGTTGGGGCCCTAGAAAGGCGCCAAGCTGGTGCTCTAACCTCCCGTAGTTGAAGTCGAGGAGCTAGTCGCTCCCGAGGATGTGGACCTCCAGTGCATGCAGCTACAGCTCCTCAAGCGCCTCGGCGATCGCATCAAGGCCGGCGGAGTGGGGAGGTTGGACGGTGGTGGGAGACTGCGCTAACTCTCCCCCCATCGTAACGATGAAGTCCAGGTTCCCAAAGTGCACGTGCGGGCCCAGGTCCCAGCTGACACTGTGACTAGCCATCCAAGACCTGGTGTGGACGTCGAGACGCGTAAAAGGCCCCTACCTGGTGCGCCAACTGTCGGTGTTTCGAGTTACCACCGATGAGTAAATTTTTAGTATTACGCATCTGGCTCGGATGGTGTGCTAAGAGGACACGAGGTTTATATTGGTTTGGGCAGAAAGGCCCTACATCTAGTTCGTCGCTGCGTTTCGTGTTACTAGCACTGAAAGTTTATAGTTGGGGTTACAAACATGCGAGAGAGGGAAAGGATTCCAAGTCTCTGGTGAAAGGAGTGAGTGGCTGCTGAGAGCTCGATCGTTGCTCAGCTGTGCATTCGTGTCGTGCTCTTGTGCTGATCTGTATCGGATCTCGATGGTCCGATCGGATTGAATTGGATCCCCTTCATGGGACGCCCTGCTTTCCCTTTTATAAGCCAAGGGAAAGCACGTGTTACAGTGGAGGAAAAGAGAAGAAGGCCTTCAGGATCGTCGGGTCCTTCTTCTCCTTCATGCGGGTCCTATCGATCTTGTAGATGTCAACAGGGATAGCTCCACGTCATGGCCCTGTCTGTCACTGGCGCCATGCGCAGGTGTCTTCTGCTGGTCATCGTTCGTACGAGGGTTAGGCAGAACAGCACTGGCACGCCCGACGCTGTTCTTGATGTGAACCCTCAGGTATGGCTCGTTATGGCCACGGGTTACATCGAGGTGTGCCAGTCTCTTCCCTGGTGTCAGAGTTTTGACCTAAGCCCATACGCTTGGACCTGAAGTGGTTGGCGGTGGTATGGGTCCTGAAAGGGGACCGTGACGCCTAAGAGGGGGGGTGAATTAGTAAACTTAAAACTCTAACTCTAAACTATGGCCTCTTTTTCTATCCTTAGCAAAAACATATGCAAAAGATAAATTATCTAAATGTGCAACTACGGTTTTGCTAGTGTGTTGCTATCTCTACCGCAAAAGGAGTTATGCAAACAATGTAAATGTAGAAGCTAAAGAGTAAGGTAGAGATATGCAAACTCCTGTCGACGACTCTGGTATTTTTACCGAGGTATCGAGAAGCGCGCAAGCTTCCCCCTAGTCCTCGTTGGAGCCCTCACTAGGAATCCCTCGCAAGGGCCAAACTCCCGGTCGGGTAACTCTGTGGATAGCCCCGGGCCTTCCCCACGCGCAAGTAGGTCTCCGGTGTGCCTTCCGGCAAGCCTCCTCCGGACCGCTCCCCGCCATCTTCACTATCAAGCTTCCGGCCCAACCGCCGCGAGCCTTGTTCCCTTCGGTACAAACATGATTGGTGTGATCTCGCAAGACTACATGCCCCTCCGATGTACAACAATGGTGCGCGCAAGCACCGAGTGGTAAGAGGTATACAAACCTCACTAAACACCAGGCCTAAACCTAGAGCAAGCGCATAAGCGGTGGTCTAATCAACCTAGCACTTCGCAAAGCACCTACGCTAATCACCTAATGAATCACTAAGCACTATGCAAGTGGAGATCACTAAAATGGTGTATCAACACTCTTGATATATTTTCTCAGCTCCACTCAACTCAAATGGCCGGTTGGGGGTCTATTTATAAGCTCCACTGAGAAAGTAGCTGTTGGGGATGAAACCCAGCTTTCTGCTACCGACCGGACGCTGATCACGTCCTGACCGGACGTGTCCGGTCGTCCTGACCGTTGGAGCGCGCGCGTTGATCGGACTCGGCTCAGAGTCTGGTCATCATCGACCGGACGCATCCGGTCACGCTGGCGCTGCTCTGGAACCTCTCTGGACTCGATCGGACGCTGCACTTCGTGCATCCGGTCGTCTAGTCTGCTACGTCCGGTCACGCTGAAAATACTACCATGACGATGAACAGTGTCACCGGTGCGTCCGGTCACTGCTTCACTCAGCGTCCGGTCACAGCTGCCGACGCCTACTGTTGCCTGGCACCTGATCGGACGCGTCCGGTCACCTCTGCCGGGCTCGTTTTTTTCGCGATCTTGCGTCCGGCTTGGTTCTAATCTTCGTGCTTGGACTTTGCTTGACCTTGTATGTCTTCTATGCATCTTCACATGTCTTTCTTGAGGTGTTGATAATCGGATCATCACGTCGCATTCGTCCAAGTCATGTTTTGTATCCTATTGAACTACAATATAATTATTTGCAAATCCATTAGTCCAATTTGGTTGTGTTGGTCATCAAACACCAAAATTCAAAGTAAATGGGCCTAGTTTCCATTTTCCTTACAGGTCCCCGTCGAGCGAGGTGGAGCCCGCGGCCTCGGGGTAGGGCGAGATGGAGCCCGCGACCTCGGGGTCGGGCGAGGCGGAGCACAAACCCAAGGGTCGGGCGAAACGAAGCCCGCGGCCGCAGGGTCGGACGAGGTGGAGCACAAACCCAAGGGGCGGACGAGGCGAAGCCCGCCCCCAGAGGTCGGGCGAGGCGGAGCCCGCGCACCTGAGGGTTGGTTGGAGCTGTAGTCGCGCTCTTAACTGCTCGGATGAATTAATGTTAATGATCATTAGCTCCTCCTCTTTGGGTACCCTAGTATTGGTCCTCGACACCAAGTGCCCCTGTTGTTTCCGCTTATTTCGGATAGTCGGTGAGGGTGAAAATTTCATAAGCGAAAACCAGCACAATGCCCAGGATCTGAGAGGACATTCTCGCTGTCGCTTGGTTGACAAACTGTTCCGTATAATACTTTGATTGATCTCACAGAGGCCCCTCTGATAAAGCATTATCGTGGATTCGTGGTGCAGTAATTCGCAGCAGAATAAATAAAAAAACAAACTGTAGCGCACAGCAATCAGGAGCGTTAGCATGGAAAGACATTGAGCTGAAATAAGCAAATACGGAGTACTAGCCACACAACGATAATTCCATCGCAGCAAAGGCCAAAGTCACCTTTCAAGACAAGGCGGGAATGGGACCTGTTATCTAAAACAAAAATTATCCCATCACAGCCAGCTAACATACTATGAAATACAACCGCACTGAATGACGCGCTGCCGATGAGAATTAGCCAAAATTTCGTATCTTTGCTAAACATTATTCTAGGTCCAGCAAAGCTGCGTCATGTTACAACCAATCAACCTGATGCGCCCAACACACAACTCAAAACTCAAAACTGAACGACGATCTCTGGGCGCACCGGCAAATCGATCAACTAGGCATCCTGCTTCGAACAGAAGCTAGGGCGTCTACCCAATCTCAGTTCGGTACATCAGGCTTTTGATATAAAGGTTCCAGGCATTCTTTCGCTCTATGAACCTTTGACTGGAGATAGAAGCTCCCGTTCTTGGCATTCCTCTCAAACATTGTGTCATACTTCTGCAAAGTATTCAAACAGGGAAACTTGAAGTTAGGTCTGGCTCAGGCAATGGTTTTGTACAGATGGTCCTAACAGTATGGAGTTGACAGAAGCTAACATCTGCAGGAACGTATTTTGTGCATCATAAAACTATTGTCACAGACCTGGACAATCTCTTCCCACGTCGATTGTTCACTGATACCGAGAATTTGCCGGGCTTCTTGCTCAGTCATGGCCTTGCTAGCCCGTCTAATACCATTTATAGCTTCTTGGGCAGCTCCAGTTTTGTTTGCATCTACATGAAAAATCAGAAACAATTAATTGATTTTCAAAAGGAATATGGCACATGGATAACGTGGCCATGCAGATGTTTTTTTTCCAGAATGAAAGCCAACTCTCTTTATAGGTAAATAGAGGAAGGTAAGACATTTAATTCAGAAGCATTTTAGTGCCTTTATTCATCTTGCTACAATCTATAAGTTAGCATTCATACAGTCATTTTGTCATACACAGAACCTAATCAATTCAGTCAAAATCAGGTTCCGCATAGAAGTTCCAAACACAGCCCAAAACTACTTATAGAGTTGACACTTCAATACTAGGAAATTGGTTTTTCTATGCATGTATACGAGGACTTCACATATCCTTCAATACTAGGAAAAGCCATCATGGAATTTACCATCAATATTGGTTCACAAATGCAGAATTGTTTGAAAGAAAGTAATTCATTTTCACATCTTTGATTTGCAATTTAACAAAGCAGTCCCGGCAATGTGCCAATGTCCAAAAATCTGAGGACTGACACAAATACACAATGGCTGGGTAGTGGCTACCCTGGTATGGTACCATAATATCACCACCATCCAAACCGTGACAGGATGACAGCCCGCATTCCATGGACCAACGCCTCAATAATATATATTTTTTGGTGTCGATTATATGCTTTGACAGATAGCACTAAGAACAAGAACACATTTTTGAATCTCTAATTTGTATTTTGATAAGCAGAGCTGCTCCAAATGATACACCTAAATCTTAGGAAAAAGTGACTGACTAAAAAAAAAAATCGTTTTTGGCACTGTGAGCCAGATATCACCAAACAGAGTTGCAGGTAACTCTTAACCACTGACGATAACTGCCTCCCCAATCACTAATACCTCAGGCAGAGACGCCGCCATGGTTTCACGATTCAAGTCACCGTACAGTCAAAGTAACCCGGAAATCCTACGTTTTTTGACAAGGTAGGACAGAAGGGGGAGCACTCACTGACGATGGCCTGACGGTAGGCCTGGAGCATGGCCCTACCCACCACGGTTCCGCCCATGACGATCAGATTCGCGAGGAGCCGGCCCGCCTGTGCGTTAGACCAGAAGCGTCAGACGCGAGACAAATAAAAATAACCTCTAGCGAAGCAGCGCGCGAACAAATCCCTAGCAGGAGTCGAGTGGAAAAGGGAATCGAAAAATCAGCGCACCATGGCGATGTATCCTCCTTCCCCCTCCTGCGACGGCGGCGGACGGCGAAGAAGAAGAAGGGGACCTAGAGACTAGGGGCTGGGCTGGCTTGGCCGAGAGGGAGGAGGAGGAGGCCTCGCTCGCGGGGGACGGCCACCAGGGGGGGCTCCGATTTTCGCAGGGAAGTGGCGGCTCCGGCAGGCGGCCGTTGCGTTGGCGGTGGACGGTGGTGTTTGGTTTTGGCTTGTCAGCCGTGAACCGTGCGGCTTTGTGCTTTAGGTTCATCTTGGGCGTCACGAAAGACGAAAGTGGGATGGGACGCGCACGCACTGGTGGGTTGGGCAAATTTAAGTCACTCTAGTTTTTTTTTTTCAAAATACATAGGTTTCCTATGTATTTAGATATAATTTAAAACGGAAAGAGTCCAAACTATGGTTGCACAAATATACATCAACTTTTATTTTAAGAGAAATGGAGTAGGCCATTTCAGCATGCGCAACTTATATAACACAGTCCTCTTTAGAGTCTAAACGGGCTAAAATAAACTAGAAAGACGACAATGAGCCTTAGGAAAAAAAATTCTATGCACTCGTATCATAGTACGACTCCATACACCACCGTCTACAAGCCGTCCACGTACCCTTCCGTGCTAATCTTGATTTATATCGATGCCGGAATATTGCAACGACAAAAGGGTCTCTTTGGAAGGAGAAGTGAAAACACACCTTTAATGCACAAATCCACAAAAGTTGGTAAAACCAGAGAAACCACATTCCAGTGGCTTCACCAACCTGTCAAACACGGCTTGAGCTCTCTGTTGCTTGGTTGCAGAAGCCGTTTCTCAGAGAAAGGTTTGGCACCTAAAACTATAGAGAAGCTGAAGCTAAAGTTGTTAAGTCCTGATACCCTAAGTTCAAACATCGTGTGTGGTGTGTATATGATGGTGAAATGATTGAAGCCTCGGCTAATATTAGTGCAAATGAGGATAGAACAAGGTGATCAGAAGACGAGGGGATGATCGAGGTGGTCATAGTACGTGGTTACCACGTGTCCATGTGTAGCCAAAATGTATTATAATTTGGATCGGATGGAGTATTACAATTTCACGTAGCTGAAGTTAGAAAGAACAAGATTAATATGCATAATTCACACTAGGTTAGTTCTATTTTCTCGTCCAATATCTGATGAGCCTTTTCGTCGCTGTCGACGGCGGCGTTCCTGTACTGGTACGCGTGGTGGCGCACACCAAGAAGTAGCCAAAGTTGAGGGCCGCCAACAAGGCCAGCGCCCAGTACACGGCGTCCAGCCGCGACCGGTTGAGGTCGTCGGGCAGACCCCGTGGCGCACCGCACGACGTCCACGAACGCCGTGCTCGGGTACGAGCCCACGGCGATGAACAGCGGCGGCATCGCCGTGGCCGTGCTCCGCAGCGCCGCGGGGAACTCCTGGTAGAAGAGCGCCGTGTTCCCTGGCAGGTGCAGCGCCTCCTCCGCGCCCGTCTGCGCCACCAGCCACAGCGCCGACATCGGCAGCGCCGCCGCCGCTGAGCCGGCACTGCGCCGCCGGCGTGCGCCACGCGGATCCGTCTCCGCTCCACGAGCGCGGCGACCGCCATGCTGGCGACGTTGAGCGCGTGCCCGAGCCCGATGCGCCGCAGCGGGGTGGTGATCGTGAGCTGCCGCTGCTTGCGGCCAATGCCGCCGCGCCCACCGGCGGTTATTAGCCTCTCCCATCCCGGGACGACGAGGCGGTCGAAGAGCGCGGCGGAGGGGGTGAAGGCCGCCAGCACGGCGACCGTCACGGAGGCCGCCGGGACGGCGAAGCGCGCGCCGACGCGGCGGTCCCTGGTGAGCGCCTGCAGCCAGCACGGTGAGGCTCACCTCACCTGCGCATTCACCGTCATGCTCACCAGGATCCCCGACGACCAGAGCGGCAGCACGCGGAGCAGCGACTTGAGGTCCTCCACCTCCTCCACCGTGCACAGCCGCCATGGCTTGTGGTCTGTATCGCCTGCCGCGATCATGGCAGCTCGGTTCAAGAACCTGACAGGGCACGAGTGTATATATGTGATCAATTCGATCGTCATGTGACCTGTTTGAATGAAACCCAAAACGTTTGAATTTTTTTGGAAGGTTCCAAATAAAACAATTCACATTTCGTACGAATCATAAGGGAAAAAAAGTTTGTACTTGAATCTGTTACTTGGAGGGTCATCACGGCTTGATGATGATGATCCATGGTCATGGTGGTAATACTGCAGTGTACTTGTACCAAGTGAAGAAGTTGGGCCCAGGCCCAGCGTTGCCTTCCTCGCAGCGGCGACAACCACCCGAGCCAGGGCCGTGAACGGACTCCCTCTCGGAACGGGCCGCCTGTAGTACCTGGACCCGGCGACCAGCGCGAGGAGGCCCAGCCCAGTGGTGGCGGTGCAGGCGCCGAAGCCCAGGGCCCAGCTGACGCTGTCCTGCACGTACACCAGCGCCGTGTCGCCGGCCAAGTAGGACGCGTACAGGAACACGAAGTACCAGCTGAAGAAGGCGTCCCGCCCGTGCCGCCGTCGCCGTCGGCGAACTGGTCCGCGCCCAGCGTCGCCGTGTTGTACCGCGTCCCGCCATTGCCGACCGCCAGGAGGCCGGCACGCCGCCGCGTAGAGCACCGCGGCCTGGGTGGCGCTCGGTGGCTGCTGGTGGCATGACGATGACTGCGGCGGCGTGCACGACGGCGGGCGCAGCGACGGGAGCGTGGCCGTCAGCGTCAAAACCATAAATGACTGCGCAGTTGTGCAGGTGAGGATTACATGTATGCATATGGAGCGAGGTGCGAAGGGGTGGCCGGCCGGCGAGATGCGTGACTGAGACGACGACCTACGACGATCTTAATTACCAGCAGAGAGATGGCGACGCCGGCCGCGACGACGGGGTAGCAGCCGAAGTAGGCGTCGGAGAAGAGGGCGCCGAGGACGGGAGCGAGCTGCATGCAGCCGCGGACGACGTTGGAGACCTGCGCGGCGTCGATGCTCTAGACGTTGTACTCCCTGATGAGGTAGACGATGAGGTTGCTACTGGTGGCGCTCATGGCCATCCCCACCCCTATCATGCTCCCTGAAAAGCTTGTGCTTTAAACAACAATAAGGCGTGTGCATGCAATGCATGCATGCAATTAGCTAGCCACCGTACCTGCAAGAAATGGCACGGTGATCCAGCCTCCTTTGTTTCTGACAGGTGTCTGGTCATCATCAGACGATGATACAGTAGTAGATGCAGTTATTCTCATGTCTTGTTGCATGCCCCTGCCGCCTGGCACTGTGTCTCTGTGTGTGAGTTAAACTAGCAAAACTATTGAAATAAGCTACTAGATGTCATGAGCCTTGAGGAGGGTATGGCAATGTAGCTGACTGACTATGTGTATGCACACTGTGCCTATATATATATATGTTAAGTCTCAGGTCAAAATTCACAAAGGGGAAAAATTGAAAGCACTACTACTGTAAAACTTTATTTGAAGAAAAGGGTAGGTAGGAGCAGTAGTGTAGAATGATGAAGGGGCCGGGGACAACTACTACTCCACAATGCATGCATGGATGGATGAGTATAATGGAAATGCCATAAAACATTCTCGCGAGGGGTGATGGCTCCCCCTACTGGAGTCAGAGTCTGACTCTCTCGCGAGAAGATCATGAAAAGATTCCACGACATATTCGGTCATTCCACGAACTCGTTGTTCGTAGGGGATGGGTGCATGCGCTGCACCATGAGGTGGCCAATGGTCCCCGCAGCATTGCGCAGACCGAACGGGAATCGATGTCGGGGCACTCTGGATGAGGTATTTTGGGGAGAACGGTTCCCCTCCAGCAAGTTACGTAATGACGTTGGCGAACGAGAAGGTGAGGTAGCGCAGGTCCTCCTGGGACGGTCGAGTCCTAGGAAGGCGTCGAGCTGGTGTGGTAGAACCGCCCAAAATAACGCATTTACGGAGGCGCTCGTCTTCTTCCATACACTAAGCACCCCGTAAGTAGGCTACAACGGACGGTATCCGTCGGGCACACCCCAAGGGAGAGCCCGAAAGATCCACATTTTTCCCCAAGGATCCAATAATGAGAACGAGTTACAATACTTAATTCATTTCATACATCCAGAGTTCTTAGAAATTTATTATTACATTGCCAAATGTCAGAGTGCGGAATGTTAAACAACGAAAATCGAAAATAAACATCTAGCGATAAAAAACAAGGATGCATCTGTGCCCACCAGAGAAATCCTCCACATAAAGGTACTCCTCATGTGCTACCTGCAACAGGGGTAAATAAACCCTGAGTTCACAATATACCCGCAAGACTTATCCGACTAGTGAGAATAATTTCCCGACTCCAAAGGATATGATGAACTTTATGGTTTACTGGTTTCCTTTTGCAGAAAGCAATACTAATAGTGACTCCGTATTTATGTTATTATTAATAGTCGTATTGATTTATTATGTAGCCATTCTATCTAAGCACATATTCTACTTTCAAGCAGGAGTTGAGCAATCAGTTCCATTTCATCACCTTCCATTTTCCAGTTCTTACTACGGTGCTAGACCCAAAAACAAGACGTACCGGATTGCCCGGCGATTCACGAATCAATGCCCCCGGTGGGTACAGCAAAAACACACGCCCCGCTTGTAACCTAGGCACAAGCAGGACTAACTCATCACCCTCCTGTCCTGGGTGTCCAGATCCCTATTCAAACTTGGACTCCAAGCCCCCACTTCTGAGTCCCGGACTCAGTGTGGTGCAAGGACCTCCACCATCCTCGTCTCCAATCAGTCGGTCCGGAAAGAGCCGGATTCCACGACAAAAGAGCAACGAGTCTTCCCTACGCCTATACCCAAGTATGTGCTCGGGATAATAAATCTGTGACTTGCCTCGAGACTTATGCAACGACCGGTCCTTAACCGACACAGACAGGGAAAAAGTGTGACCAAGCTATGCCCTGTTGGCCGCAGGACACAACCTCTTACACCCACTAGTACCCAACCATATCCTTGCCCGATCACCATTTTTCCTTTCCACTATTTTATCATGAGTGATCATATTTATCACCTATTTGTGAGTAACGGCAGGTTACTCACGCTACCGAAATCCTGAGCATAGCAGCTACTCGACCTGTACTAGTAGAACTCATAGGTAGATATATTTATGCATGTAGTTTCCATAAAATACCTGTAATATAAATGCACATCATATGTATATCTATAGTGATCATTAAAAATAGGGGTTATGCATCGGGGCTTGCCTTGGGCAGGCGGCGGGTCAACAAAGTCAGCACCAAAAGGCTCTAGGGCTCCCTCCTGCACGAGGATCTCCTCCTCGTACTCCTCAATGACTTTCTCGTAATCATGTTCGTCTACGGGACACGAACTCTACCAACTCGTGATCTACATGCATGAAATGATGATGCAATACTTAGTAATACGGCAACAGCAACTCTTAAAATAAAAATACATCTATCTAACTACTAAGCTAGTGCTACCGACCAAGGTACTAAGTCACCTACTGTTACCACTAACAAGTACGAAGCATGACATGCCTTACCATAGCAACTAAAGGTATTCTTACTCCTAATACCGATTTACTCTATATATGATAAAACAAGGATAATAGCTACTCTATTTTTCAAACTACTCTATGGCTATAAGATTTACAGCAAGTACATAATAATCTAATTAACCTACTGTAAAAATCTCATAGCTATATCTATCACCAATTTGCCACAAAAATTCCTACAAATATTAATCTACATAATACTAAGCTCTCTAGTTTGAATTTATGAACCTATGATTGTAACATCTAACTGTGAACCAACTATACCAATAGATAGATAGCATTTTTGTGAACCTAACAATTTTTGTTTCACTATGTTTAGACACCTACAGATTTTTCTACAATTTTACAAAGATCAGCTCATAATGAAATTGAATAAACCTTTATTACTTTACAGGAAAATCGGAAATCGATTCCGCAGCGTGGCCCGCTAGCGAACGGCTCGGCCCACCCCGGTGTCCCGCCTGCGCGCGCAAGCAACACCCGGCATGGCCCACGCAGCGGCGCGCGAACGCGGACCACGCTATGCGGCCTACGGCGGAGCCCGCGCGTGGGTGGCTCTTTTGCTAAAGAGCCCCTGTTCTCTACCCTATTCGCGAAACTCACTCGAGCACTATTTCACCGAGTCATGGAGTTTGCATCTACCACCCTTCCCTTAATCCAATTCATGTTTTACGAAGTCCCTGGCTGAAACTAACAGAGGCCGCGCCTCTCCGGCCAAACGCCGACGAGCACGGACCTCCCCGACACCAACCTGCACCACCATGACAGTCAATGTGCAAAGCGCAACGGATCAATGTACGAAATGCTGCAATAGGTGAAGCACGAAGGTGCGGCCATGTGCCACGGCAGGGTCTGGCCGCGGCAACACCGGCGCCGACGAAATAACCTAGCCACGCGCCTCTGCTGCTACCCTTTTCCATCTATGGACTACAAGCAACAATATAGAAACCTTATTTGGAACGCTACTACACTCCAACTCGCTGGCCACAGAGCGGCATCTACACCACATCCGCCGGAGGCAGCCATGCGCTCCGGTGAGCCCCCGGCCCTAATCGATCCAACCATCTACCCTAGGAGCAGGAGGGCCTCACCAGCGATGTGAAGGGTAGGCTGGATGACATCACGAGACACGGCAAGGTAGTTGACCGCGTGCGCGGGAGTGTTCTGGTTCACAGCAAGCACGGCGATGGCGTTCCCGGTGACCTGCTGCTCCACCGACGAAACTGCTACACGGCCGAGGCAACCAAGTCAAGGAAACGCAAAAGCACTGCTCAATTGATACAACGGAGCAACGAGTGACGCATTAGCCAAGCACATGCCTCGGCGGCCATGGTGGACCACCACGGGGAAAACACCCCTCATTACCTCACTGGCAAAATGAAAGCTCAACGGGTCGATTCCACTCGCAAGCTAACCACCAGAGCTAGTTTGGTGCTCGGTTAATTGGAAGACAGTGGACTACGCAAGGCCAATTTCTTTGGGCGACACCGTTCGGACTTATGGCAGCTGGTGATGGGCGAACACTTAAATTGGAGACGGGCACCATACGGTAGCAGCGGTGGCAAGTCTGGCGCGATAGCGGGACCCCAAACCAACCTCTAGACATGCGTATTTACCATCTGGGGCCAGCGCTGCGGTTAGGCCTTGGCGTGGATCGGCCGACCGTCGCGATGACATCCCAGGCGACACGACGGAAAACATGGCGTGGCACCGCACGCAGACGTGAAGGCGATGGCAGGTGGGGCAAGCCCACGCGCATGTAGCCAAAGGGTCAATGGGAGCAGTAGTCGCGCGGCAGCGACGAACGGCGCGCAGCACGACCGGGGTGCAGTGCGAAGCGATGGCGAGCCGCGGGCTCATGCGGACGCGACGGATGAGGCAGAGTAGCCAAGCTTGCCGGGCCCAGCGTGCGCGCGTGCAAACAAGAAACGTGCCAGGCGCGGCAACGGACGTGCGGGCCTACGCGGCATTGCGCATGGGCGCGCTTGGGCGAGCGACGACACTGGCCGAGTCGCGGTGACCGCGCCCAGACACCGAAGCCAGCTGGGAACATGCCTTGCACGCATTTTAAAGCTATTCAAAAAGCCAACTCGAGGATCCAGTAGCTACACCACCTATTTTACTCTCTAGTTGGTATATCAGGCTACTAAAAGAAACCCCAAAACCACGCCCCTACCTAACCCGATCGTTCTACAAAAATTATCGAACTTAGCTTTGTCAACACGTTGTCCGACTTAGGAAATTTTGGCGAAGTCCTAAACAGTTTCGCGTCGAATGCGATTTCCAAGCTACTCGATACGCTAGCTAGCGAATCCTGTTCTCGACCGTACGTATTTCACCGTCACCTACGAAGTTCATGTGATGAACTTTACTAAAGCTTTGCATATGCGTT